GACGAATGTGCCACGGAACCCTCCTCGTCTGTTGGTATTGAGTCGTTTTGAACACAGCCTCAGGTCAACACTGACCAAAATGCTCTCAGGCTAAAGACGCCGGCGGTCGGAAGTGACAAGTGATGCACTGGTGTATCACAACCGCTTCCATCATTCCTTCCCACCACGACGACAATTGGATACTGAGGGACACTCAATCCACTCCCCAACAAGCATGTCGAGCGACACCGACTCGACACTCACGGATAGCGATAGGTGCGGGTAGAAACAATGGTACAGAGGAGTTCCGTATCTGACAACGTCGAGTTGCAGGCTTATTACAGCACTTCAAGCCTGTTTCGTCGACCTGGGGAAGAAGCAAGAGGAACAAGGGGACAGGTAGATAGCCTCCCTTATTTAGATCGATATATGCTGAGCAGATTCAAGGCTTTGCAAGGCGGTCGCGGAAGCGTTCAAGCCACAATCGTCGTCCACAGACAAGAAGACAGCGTTTTGGAACTCATATATGAAGCTGGCCGATGAGTACGATAAAGAGTTTCACCAGAAATATAGCACGGATCTTGATACGTCTCTTATCTTTGTGAGTGACACTACTAACCCATGAAACTTCCATGTGTTGAGACCCCACACCAGTCGGGTCTTTTTTCTGCCGTCGGATCGGCATTCATCATCCAGATCGAGCCACAACTCGCCTCTGGGAATCCTCCGACAATCATCGTCGTCGTCCAATGTATGCTATATGCCAGTCTGTTTGTCACCCTTCTTGCTGCCCTCCTCGCCGTCCTTGGCAAGCAATGGGTCATGTACTATCAGGCGGCTGGCAGCAGAGGCACCATAAAAGAGCGCGGTCTCGAGCGCCAACGCAAGCTCGATGGCTTAATCAAATGGAAATTTGACGCAGTTCTCCAGACATTCCCTCTACTCTTGCAGCTCGGGTTATTGCTCTTTGCGAGCTCCATATCACTTTATTTATGGACGGTCCATCACTCCGTTGCGATCGTTTTTATGACGATGACGGCCCTCGGCTGTGGCTTATACCTTTTCTTCTTGGTGTCAGCCACGGTTTATCATGATTGTCCATTCCAAACGCCACTTCGTCCATTTGTCATCCAGGTCCTGCAAAGCACCCAAACTATATTGTGGACATTGCGAGCAGGGACTCGCAAATCTCTACAAACATTCTCGTGTTTATTCATGAAGATGTTTAGGTTCAAGTTGCAACCAGCGACGCGGAAAATTCTAGGCCCACTTGTCCGCTTCAGCTCCTCCGGGATTCACCTCCTTTCTCATCTTCCATCTCACATTTTACCGCTCAGCCACACAGAGGAGTCCACAAACCCATCTGCATACCACCTTTTCAACCCTCCAGCTCCAGAGGTACCCGCAGTTCTTTGGGTGCTAAAGACGTCCACCGATCCCTTCATGATCCACATCGCAGCCGAGATTGGTGTTGATCTTCAATGGCCTCGGAGCATGGATTTCGAGTCCACCGAAACCGTCATGAATCGCCTGGCCGACACATTGGCTTCGTGCCTACAGCTTCGGATTGCCTATCCTGCTAAAGTGCGGGAGGGTATGTCAGATGTTGCAATCACCTGTGGAAAGTTGTACGGATCTCTGAGACTCGTTATGCGAGCCACCAACCTCCCCACCAGAATTCTTCGGAACTTTGCGGTTGAGGTTGATAACGGTACCGAAGAACTTCAAAGTGTCCTTCACATCCTCAGCGACATGCCCCAGCTGACCCGGCAGTGGGAGACATTCCCTGTCAGTAACAAATGGGCATTACACATCATTCCTTCCTTAGAGCGCTCAACCAGGTCACTACGAGAAACACTCGAACACTTTCTTGATCAATTTTCAATTGACGAGATATCGAATCTGGATCTCCAGACCTTCACAAACTATTTGTGCTCCCTTTGTTCTGTGTTTGCTACTGTTGACACTAGGATCACAATGCAGATGGATAAAAGGTGAGTTTGAATTACGATCCGAGGCCAATGTATTCAAATTCTTCCGGATTAGTCAGTTCCGAGATTTCTTGCTGTCACAGCTGTTCACTTTACTTCAACATTCAATGATCCAGGGGGACATAGAAGTTGCAATGGCCCAACGGATTATCCGTATTACTCTTCAACTGTCCGACAAGTTTCCTGCACAGACAACTTTCAATGAACGAGTGAAAAGAGTCACATTTAAAACACGGCTTGCCCTCCTTCAGGATATCTCATGGTTTTGTCATCGCTTTCCGCAGGCGGATGGCTCCACATGGCTCTCTGTGGTGGTGTCAGCGGCACAACTCGTCAGAGTGGATGTCACTGACCAACGTGAGATGCATTCCTGCACATTGTCCCCTCACCTCAGTTTCAACGAAAGCCAGGATCTCGGATGGATATTCATGGCGCTTGAACATCTCGAAATGACCCGAGCCGATAACAGTATGAGGGAGTTTGACGAATGGAATAGCAACATGGTTGCTGGCGTTGATGCACTCCTGCAGCTATTGGCCTGTAACAATTCTCTACCTCACATCCCGCCCATCAGCGCCCTTCATATAATCCTTCATGCACTGACCTTGCCCACGGATGTCGCTTGCACGGCTTTCTTTGTGTTGAATCGGGCCCGATCTTGGTTTGACGATCCCGGTTTGTTGCCCATCATGCAGCAATTCTCTGTCGGGCATCACCTCGGTCGTGTTGCACTCAAATACAAAAATCCTTCCTTACCTCTGGAACACGACTTTGTGGCACTCTCATATCTGGGCATAATGCAAAATATTGCGACTAAACAAGAATGGAGGCCGTCACTCTTTCCTGAGCTTTCTACATGGATTACAATTTTCTCCTGGCGTAAAGAGGGATGGCTAGCAATTGGAAGCCATGAAGACAGTTTCACCTCCGTGACTCGTCGCATATGGGTCCCGGAACTCGATGAGGACCGTAAATTCCTCGCCAACCAAAAGGGCACAGCTTTGGCGCTCACAGCGCTATCAAAGGTTTGGGAAGTGTACAGTTTCAACGCCACAGCGTCGCCAAACAAATTCTTGTGCCTAACTCGCTGTACGGTGCGGACAGTACTTTACCTGAACGATGAGTGGACATCATTGCATTATCGAACCACTCTGCCTCCCTTCTGCTTCCGGCTCCACAAATCACTCGCAAGGGCCGCGAGCAATGCTGGGCACGCGATTCCTGATGATGACGACACCTTTGGGAGCACCGACTTGGGGTCACTTCAGCGTCATGTACTCGCACAGGACATGGCGGATTTGCTGGGAACACTCTTAAAGAGGTTGAGAAGTGAATTTCCACCCAACCAGCGAGCAGCACAGCCTGCGGGCAAAAAAGAGAACCGCGCCCGTTGGCATCTGAGGAACACTCTCGAAGCAGAGATTGATGCCTGGGAGGAATCACTCGGTCTATCATCAGACGAAGACCAGAGAGCTCAAGGGGGAATCAGGATTCGAAAGTCAGATGGGGGGTCAATAAAGTTTTTCAGACCTTGGCTGGAACCCCCCTACCCCTCCCCCCCCTCCCCTCCCCCTATTCCTGTTGTAAGCTCGGGGGCTTGATCGGAGTAGAAAGTTATCATGTTTTGAAGGTACAGTCGAAGCTGTACACTTAGGGCCTGATCGACACCCCTTAATTCATGCGTGGATTGTGGTTGAATTTTTTTGGGTGCATAAAACCCGTCCCTAAACTGCCCTAGGTCATCTAATAGAACATGTTCCTGAAGATTTGAGGTCGGAGGGGGGCAGAAAATTTATTGGGCAAAGTTTCCCCCAGATTTCATGGAAACCCCTTGAAAGCTGAGTAGATCTTGAGCTCCTTTCATGGTGGCCACCCCGACTCCCTCAAACTTGCAGAAAGACACCCAATTTCAGTTTGGGGACAAAATGTGTGGGAAATGTATACGGAAAAGGAATTCAACTGAAATTCAGGCGGATTGATTCAGTGTTGCTGATCAGGCCCTTAACCCATATCCCTCAGTGGATGCATAAAAGTATGGGTTTCCGCAGCGTATGGGTTTCAAGGGCCGTGGGAAAGATGTTGGCAAATGCCGATCAAAATTCAAATGTAATGTTTAAAATACAACTTCTCTCCCCGATTCAATGTGAGTGCATCACGCCCGCAAAATCACAGTCCGCTCAAGAACTCCAATTCTCCGATTACTAACGCCCTAGGGTTCTATTCAACTTTGAAACCTCTGAAATCGGGCCTATCTGTGCTACTTAGAACCATGCTCAAACCCCACTCGCTTTCGGCTTGGCTGTCTCCAGGAAATTTGCGGAACCTGCGCCAACTTGGAGTTGCGTGGTCAAAATATTGGAAACACCCACTTAGTACTAAGCACCATCGGTAAATTTCCATACAAAGCTCTGTGAATATATATGCACTGTAATTTCTGGCAAGCTCATCCGGATATCCCATCTCTTTCAAACCTTGTAAAAAAAACTCAAACCAACCTGAGCTTTGTTCACATCACAGTTCATTACAGTCAGGAGCAGGGATGATTACTTTCGCACTACATATCCACTTGGCAGTAGAAAAAAAAGATTGGCAAAAGGTCTGGTTAACAAACGGTGTGCGAAAATATTCAAAGTTGCGCCGGTCAGGATGTCGTCCAGACTGAGGACCGTTTGAGCAGCCATGAGCGGTTGCTAGTAGCCAAAGCCAACACCCAAGCCGTAGATGATCTCGAAACCGATCCATTGTGCCGTCCCGATGTCAATATTGAACGTCGAAATGAGACCAGCGCCGATTCCCGTGAATACTGTGCTCAAGATCATGAATGGTGTATAGTACCCTGCTGCCGTGGTTAGAGCGCCTGCGAGAATCGAGGAAACGACGACCAAGAGAACTATGGGCATGATGTCAATGCCAGACCGAACGGCGGAGACACCCTTGATTGCTTGGAACCAGATAAAGGCAACGATTCAGGGCACTTCCTGAGCCAAAAAGTCAAGTTTAGATGTGCCACAAACGGCGGCAAAAACGGGATTCCCTGGCGGGGAATCGAACCCCGGGCTGCCGCGCTTTCAATTACAGTGTATTAAAACGCGGGCACTGAAAAGCGGCAATGTTAACCGTTACACCACCAAGGAGATGCTAAGGTGTCGTCGTCGCAATCCTAGGGTCGCCCATGAAGCCGAGAACGATTTAAAAACCAGAAACACGAAAATCGAATAAAAATGCACCAAGTCGCGATTGTTTGTCAATTGAGAGCATCGAGTAGGTCCGGCGAATTCACATTGCCTTCCCACACTATCGACACACATCCTCCAATATTTTCAGATTTTTAGTGGCAGCGGAAGATGTGAAAGTTGGGAGGAAGACGAAAATCGGGAGAAAATACACCAAGTCGGGCTTGAGCACGATTACGGTCGATTAACACCCAGGAATATGCCGCCAAATGGTTCCGACGACTTCCTAAGATGGCTAAGCACCTCCTCCAATATTCTCAGATTTTTCGAGCCACCACAAAGTCAACGGAAGAGAAACGAAGATCGGACAAGAATGCACCAAGTCACGATTGAACACGATTGCTGTCGACTCACATCTGGAGGTATGTCACTGAGTGGTGTCTAGCGGCCTTTGACGAGACCTACGCACCTCCTCCAATATTTTCAGATTTTAGAGGCAGAGGAAGTGCTGCGGAGATGTCTGATGGCGAAGCGGTACCGCCGATTGCCATCAAACTGATATTGTGGGCGCTGCTGTGGACGTGGTGCGCGGGAAGGTGCGGGATATGAAGGAAATGGTGGTGATGTTTGTGTTCTGGGAAGGGGTTGTGGGGGGAATGAGCACAAGGCATCTTTCCCGAGACTCTGCCGATGTGAAAAGAAATCTGGCCTAATTAGGCAATCGTATTGATAGCAGATCAAAGCGCCTTGGGCTGCGAGAAATTTGGAAGCAGACAGTAAAAAAAGCAATTTCAAGATGTAGTGGGTATATATAACTATGCACGGGGATACAGCAAATTAGGCATAAATACAATAAAATCGTCCTTCAGTCAGTACGATGGGTCTAACCATACCCAAATATCGCCCCCAGCATCTCCTTCCACCCGCGCTTAATGACCACTGCCGCGCCTCCCCCATATTCGCTCGCAATCCATTCCAAGTACCGTGCGTCCATGCCGCTCATCGGGCCCAGCTCGAACGCGCTCATGTCCTTTGACGAGAGAGAAATCGCCCCGGGGGTGTTGTCGATGGGCTGGTGGCTGGCGGTGTTGGTGGTGGAAGTAGGGAGGAAGCGCTCGAGCATGGAGAGCTGGAATGACGTGTGCGCGTGCAGGGTCTGCAGGAGTGAGAGCGTCGTGAGGATCTGCCCGTCCCTCCGCCCACGCGCCGCTTCGGCCATTTCCTCGTCGTCCATTTCCTCGTCCTCCTGCTCGCCATCCGCTGTCGCCGTCGACAGCCCCTTGACCTTCGCTGCGGAGGAGGAGCCGGTGACCGTCGCCCGTCCACTCGACCACGACATCCCGCTCGACCGCCTCGTGCTCTTCCGACTCAGCCCTGGGCCCCCACTGACCTTTGGGCCCCCCTCAATCCCCATCCCCACACTCCTCACATGCCCTCCAACACTGCTCCCCGAGCTCCCCTCCGCCCCCACCCCAAGCGCCCGCAAACTCAGATCCTCGTCCCCCTCCAGCCTCACTGCGCCCCAATTCGCCGCCCCGCCCGCAGTGGAGTACGACGCCGTCGAGTTGCCGCGCCAGCCGCCCATCCAGAGCCCCGCGCAGATGACGCACACGTCCTCGTACACGCGCCAGGCGTCCGTCCACGCGGTGATGGGGCTCGCGCTGGATTTGCCGTTCTTGCTGTATTGCGCAGCGTCGGGGGACATCCCTGGAGCGCAGCAGGCGTGGTGCTCGTGTGCGGAGGAGGCGTCGAGGGAGAGGATGCGATTGAGCTCGTTCCACTGCGTTGCTAGTGAGATGAGAATAATAGGTAGGGGGAGGAGACCCACCAGCTTGACGTCGCTCCAGGAGAAGCGCACGACTGATAGTCGATGCGTCGGTCCGCGGGCTCGTTGGCCAGCGGGCGGTGGAGGTACAGGACGCGAGGAGTAAAACGTCGGTCGCGTAGCCTTGTTGGGCGTCGAAGTCGTCAGGTCGATAAGCAGGTCGTAGCAAGAGGGCTTCTCGAGGAAGATGGCGTCGGTCGTGCCTGTAGTCGATGGTCAATAAATTAGATGAAGCGCAGGAACGACATACATGCGACCCATCCACGCCCGCTAATCTCTTCGCTCTGCAACCGATCTAGGTCGTTGAGGGTAATCATCCCCAGCACACTAATCCCCTCTCTGTGCTTCGAGTGTAGGCGGGATCCGGTCCGCGACTGCGACCCGGACGCCGAGGGCTCGGCGCCAGTGTACTCGACTTGCTGTTCGTAGCACATGTCGGCCGCAACCTGGCACAGGATGGACGCCGCCTCGACAGGGGGTAGGGTATATATGAGGATGCGGCGCCGCCCGACGGCGTGTTTGTACAAGGTCAGGGATGACGGCCCAAGGATGCGCAGGAGATGCGGGAGGTGGAGCGTGGGGTTCTGGTCTGTTGCATTATCATCGAGCTGTCGGTGCGTAGTCAGTATCTAGTAAAGAGCGCATGAAAAACCGACATACCCGCTCGAGCAGCTCGTGACTCCACCCATTCCAATCGCCTGCGCCCCCCAGATCCGCGCGGGTGACCTTCCGCTCATTAAAGAACGCGCGGGCAGGGTCCCAGTCGCTTTCGATGGGTACCAGGGACGCGGAGCTTTCGAAGCGGGAGTAGATAAGTGTCGTAAGTTCCTTCAAAGCTGCGGTGTGTCTCCAGGGTCGGGGGCGTGCGGATTTGGCTAATAGTATACCCAGGGAGGAGAGCCGGAAGCCTCGGTGGCCGTGGTCGACGGTCTTGCGCCGCCGAAACACGCAGACGCCGTGCTGGCCGTCTTTGGTGAAGTAGCTGAACGGGAGTCAGTTAAATACAAAACGTTGGATACCCAGGAAGAATAAAGTATTGCTGTGGCCGTATCGCTCCACGCCATGGTCCGAGCGCGGACCCTCTGGTTGGAACATCCAGAGCAACCCAAAACATCCAGAGGATCCGGCCAAGCAGACGCAGGCCAGACACACAGTCCCAGGACAGCTTGAATGAGAAGATCAGGCCCAACACGCACACGACATCTTCCTCGACCAAATGCAGTCCACTCGGAAGCGCACTAAATTCCAGATTATCGAGGCTCAAGTCTGTTTTTTTCGCAGTAAGACCCATAAATTCCTTTGTCCAAGGGTCCCCCACACACCATCGTTCGCCTTCAACGACCAGTCGATTATATTTCCTTGCGTAGGGTGAAACGAAGCGTGAAAGATTGCAACTGCGCATCCGCCAGTCAGTCCAACAATTCCTGGATAAAATGGGGGCTATGAGGGCACCTATATCCTGGGGATACCGTCCCTTGGAATCCAGGGAGGACATGGGAAAATGAAGGATCGTGGAGGAGGACAAGAAGCACAATAGGGACGTGACCCGCCGTTACGAGTGACGATCCGTACCTCCATGTCGCAACAGCCGCAGCAAGTCAGTGTCGACGATCTGAACGTATCCCAGCTCGCGGACGTCCGCAGGCAGCTGGAGGAGGTAGACAGGCATTTAGCTGGCCCAAAAATTGCGGTCTAATCGCGGTTTGAAGGAATTAAATCACCTCACAAACTCATTCGCGCAGCTCAAGCAGGCGCAGTCAAAATTCAGGGCGTGCATCGAGAACGTGGCCGAGATAAAACCAGCCAACAAGGGTATCTTGATCCTGTCTTCGCAAGATTGATATTAATGTAATCGCGACAAGGCAAAACGATCCTTGTCCCGCTAACAAACTCGCTCTACGTCCCTGGAAAGCTATCTGACTTAGACCACGTTATCGTCGACGTCGGGACCGGGTACTTTGTGCAAAAAGTAGGGTCAGATCTTCACGTGGGGATCGCGCTCAACGCGATTCATAATTCACCAGACCCGAGACCAAGCGCACAAACACTACGCCGCCAAGGTCAAGTACATCCAGGGGAACCTCGACACACTGGAGGAGACGATAGGCAAAAAGAAGGAGAATATGGGGTATCTAGTCAATGTGATGCAGGCAAAGTTGGTACAGCAGCAGCAGCAGGGGGCAGTGGCATCTTGATTTTTTTTTTGTTTTTTGGATGACTGTGCGCACTGTGAACGAGCTATGTGTCAAGTTGGCAAGTTGGGGCCATTTTTGTTTAGCTTCTGGTACGTGATTTCGTCGTTGCTGCGTAGATAAGCTGCTTACTGGAGTCTCAGAATATTTCCTGGCTGCATCCCTTCTTGATTTTTTCCCCTTGACTCCAAATCGACTCATGGCCGACTCACGGAATAATTTTCTTCCTGCTCGACCGCTAACATGCTGAGTTCTGAGTTACTAACTTAAGTTAGTGAGGGGGTTGTTATTGTTCCAGGCATCCATTTGGATTATTGTTCGCTCTCTTGGTTTAGGGCACGACTGCATACGTGCTTTCATCGCACTTGGTATGGTCAGCCGTACTTACATCGAATCTCAGATACAGACTCCTCACCACACTGTATCCGAAGTCCCGGCTCCCGTTCGACCTCTTCGATCTGTGGCGCCTAACTTACCTCAAATCAACCTCATGCCTGAAGAATACCAAGTTTCGTCTAGTTTTGCTGGTCGCCCACCGCTGATCATGACTGACCGAATACTTCTGGAGGACGCCTTTCCCGCAATCTTCTCGTGATACGGGCCACATAGGAAGCTCTAAGTGCAAGTGAGATTCTTTTCTTTTGCTTTCGGGGGAGCGGCATCTTGATGTTCTTTTTTGGATGATGATTATTTGATGTGCGCGATGTGAGTGGGCTGGGCTCTCGGTAAAATGGGGTCAATGGTGGGTCAGTGGTGTAGCATTGGTCGCTGTTTTCTTTTTTTTCTTTCTTTTTTCGGTATGTGGTCTTATGGCCCGTTGCGTGGTTCAGTAATACTTGCATTGAAGGTTACAGGTAGACTCTTCCTCATACCACATCTGGTGCTCGCAACTTCCCAAGCTGCTCACTGACCTCATCATCCCCGGTCCTGAATTTGTGTCGTTC